ACTCGCTCGAGTATACATACACTCGATAAACCCACCCTACTTGTTCCTTGGTGCCCTAAGGATTCTTACTTGGACTGTGCACTAACCCGGTGTCTTCAATAGTATGGGCCCAATACTACCGTCCACACCACATCAACATCCACCCCAAGTTCTCCTCCAAGGATCCCAAATCACAAGTACTCTATCTCTTCTCACGCATAAACTACCCTTCGGTAGACTCTTATAGCACCTCACTGATACCTACTTACTCTAAAGCATCTCATGGTAGCAGAAATCTACCTAGACTAAGGCATCACAAATCAAGCCACTCTAGTCCTACTATGAATACCTAGCCTACTCTAGCATGCATAGCACATTTCAATATATCTCATAACATAAAATGTAAGGGTATTTTGGGAAATCACCGTTCGGGTGCTAGCTGATCGTACACACTGCTCACTTACGTATCTTTTCAATTCTTTTATTTTTTTTTCAGAAAAATTGTTTATCTTATCAAAAATCTCTCAAATCCTCAGTTTGAGTTTAAATACACCCGAAGGTAAATCCGAATCCCTCAAACCAAGGCTCTGATACCAATTTGTAACACTGTAAAATTTAAAACAATTTTTCATTTAATTTTTAATAAAACATTTCATTATTTAATCTTCCAAAAGTCAAACATCCAATGTTTCCACAAAATACATAACATAACCCATAACCCATGATCTTAAAAACATGACATCTGTAAGTGTGTACTGATCAAGCTGGTGTCTTCCCGCGATCCTCGCTAGTACCTGAAACACATAACGCATAACACTGTAAGCACGAATGCTTAGTGAGTTCCCCAAAATACCACATACTGCACATACGCCTTTCCAGGCCATAGGATCTTCCGATCCAAGTGTCTCAGGGGATTTCCATCCCAAAATCTGTTGACCTTCCGGTTCATATCATCTTGACCTTCCGGTCCACATCATACTCATATCACATAACATATCACATATAACTTACATCACATATACATCATACACATAAGACTTTTCGGTCACACATAATTACCCCATCGGGTAAGGCATAGTAAGAAGACTCACCTCGCTGATGTCGGATAATCACTCGTGCCCAATCTCCCGACCTATCGTCCTCATATATCATAAGTATAACTCTCATTAATACTTTCCTGACTTTGTGTGATTACTACCATCAAGTCAACACTGGTCAATGGTCAACCTTTGACCCGACTCGTCGAGTGCCTTCTGGAAACTCGGCGAGTTCCATCGCGTACTCACATCCTCTAGATCCATTCTAACTCACCGAGTTATTCCCCAACCCGGCGAGTCACCAACTGTGTGATTTACGGGGAAACCCTAACCCTACTTGTCGAGTCTGTTCTTTGACTCGGCGAGTCAATCCCATGCACAAACCAAACTGACCTCCTGAGGTCAGATCTGTTCCATTAATCCATACATCCGACGTTCCCAAGCATGATAATCACGTAAAGTCCATATCTTGATGCACAAACAACATCTATTTGATCCTATATGTCGTTTTAGCCCCATTTATCATAACCCATGGTCAAAACCCCCCATTGATCTTCATAAAGCTTGATGAGTAAGGCTCTATGGACCTCTATGGATCCAGATCTAATGCCTTATCACAAATAGGGACCAATTAGATATCAAATCTAGCCAATGAAGGGTCCAAGAAACCCTAAATCCATATGATCATCATAACAACAGAAGGGGAGCCAAAATATTACCTCAAATGTGATGCTCTAAGCTCCAAATCCACAGAATGTCCACCTCCTTTGCTTCCTCTTGGCTAGAACCTCCTTTTTCTTGCTAAACAATACTTCAAAGGTCAACAATGGCCTCCTCTCTCTCCCAAAACGCTCAAGTGCTCTAGGGTTTCTCTCAAGGGACTGATAGATGCAAATGACGGCCCTAAGGGCCTTTAAATAGGTCTCAAACCCGAGAGATTAGGGTTTCATTAAACAGCGCGGACTCGCTGAGTCCACCCATGAACTCGCCGAGTCTGGTCATTAATCCGGATGAGAATTCGCGACCCTACTCGGCAAGTCTAAGCACCAACTCGCCGAGTCCCTCTACAAACTCCAAAAATAAATGAATAAAATAATATACCTGGGAATCCGGATGTTACATATTGTATGGTTTGAATCAAACAAATGTTACTCAATGGTTTTAAATCAAAATTTTTAATTGGTAAATCTATTTTATGAACAAAAGTTTCTCTATAATTTTTTTGAGACGTTACATCCGTTTTCAAGGTATGAGTTTTTGTGTGTGTGTGTGTGTGTTATTTCAAGCTAAGATTGAGATTTGGGGGTTTTTGGGCAGTTTGTGACAAGATGTTTATATAAGCGGTACATGCCATGTGATTAAGTAGTGATGTAGCCTTATATTGGTCGCGACACGGTGTCTCAATTGCACAAAACCCTAGATCCTGGGTATTAGGCCCTATATAACAGCACTAACTTTTAGGGTTTCGTTTGAGAGCTTTGAAGAGGAACAATCTTATGGTGCTAAGAGGAGAGATTTCAAACTGAAGTTGCAACCTTCTAGACAATCTATTTGCACTGTAAAAGCTAAAGTTTCATACTTTATTCAATACTTTGTGCTTGGATCTAGACTCAATCAGAGATTTTGATCTCTTTTGACCCATTTTTGTGTAGTTCTTGGAGTTTGGAGAACTCTATAACCATTAGGTTCATGTTGGGTGAATTTTGAAATTGTTTAGGACATTTAGAATGCATGAATAAGTTTGGGCTTGGGTAACATAAACACATAACATATACTAGGTCTAGCATATTACATACTCTCGGCAACTAGTCTTCCCGAGACTGAAGTTTGGGTTTGGGTTTGGGTAACTTTAATGAACGAGCTGTAAATTGAGGTTTGGCCTGTTTGTCATCTAGTTGGTTTGTGAGACTGATTCTTGCATGTTCGAGCATGTTAGTGTGTTCTGTCATTTTCTAATTATGGTGATGTATCTAACGATACTATATGTTATAGTATATATCTTTTATGTGATAGGATTTAGATGTATTATGGTATGATGATTAGGCAAGCAAGCTAATATAGTCTTTTACTTGGTGATTTTTTTTATTGTTTGATTGCATAATATGTCGACGTATTATCTGGAGGGGTTGATGGTAGATCATCACTATAGCTAAGAGCCTAGATACTTAGGGTTGACGGTGGATCAACATTGGAGTTGAGAACCTAAATTCCCAAGGTTGATGGTGGATCGTCACTAAAATCGAGAGCTGTTAACCAGACGAATCAACACTAGAGTCGAGAGCCTTTATTTGTATGGTAGATTAGCACTAGAGGTGAGACCCTTATTGGTATGCATTGTTTATGTATTGTGGTATGTGGTATTTTAGGGAACTCACTAAGTTTTATGCTTACAGTTGATTTTATGTTTCCTGATAGTTTCTGGGGAAAGGCACCAACTTTATTATTCGACATATGCATCACTATTAATTTTAGATTTCCATTGTTATGATGATTTGATTCATTTTAGTACTATGATATGATGATGTTTTGGAAACAATTTATTACTTAGTATTTTATAAAAACGTTTGGAATGGTTTACTTATATTTTTAAATAAAAACTTTTGCTTCAATTTTAGTACAAGTTGATATAGTGTCTTGCTTTAACAATCCAAAAAGTATGTCAAAATTTTTTTACTTTATTTATTTATTTATTTATTATTATTATTATTATTATTATTATTATTATTATTATTATTATTATTATCATCGTCGATACCTATTCATTTTGAACATTGTTTTAAAACCCGGGTTCACCCGGCCGGTTCAACCAGTTGGATCGTGACCCGGGGTAGAAGGCGGGTCAATTGAGATCGGTTTTTTGTAAAAATACAAACCGGGTCGAACCGGCCGGGTTTCCCCTAAACCGCGGTTCAACCGCTTATGTCGAACCGGTTAAAACCGGATTGACCCGTTTTAATAGTGTTTGGATAATTGGAAACAAGTAGCGAACGCCAAAACAACGAACCGTTTGCGGTTTCTTCAATGTTTTTCAACGTTTTTAAATATTTAAACTTTGTGGATATTAAATTATTGGTTTTATATGTTTATGCATTATGCATGAAAGTAAAAATATATAAAAATAGAAAAAGACCATAAACCGGATTGACCCGGCGGTTCAACCGGTTGAACCAGTTGACCCGTGAAGCGGTCATCTTACCGGGTCAACCAAAAACCCGGGTTTTAAAACATTGATTTTGAAGGCCGAAAATGTTCTAGCCCTAAAACTCGTCGCAATATCATTATATCACGGCACCAGGCCACCACCTAGTCACATACTCTGCCTTCTTCCTTTCGTTTCCTCGCAGCTTTTCCGGTAAGTCTTCGGTTCCTCATCAACTTAAACGGAAACTCAATTTGAACATACAACTCTTATGTACTCATCAATACTTGGCGTTGACTTAATCGCGTCTCAACATTATTGATCTAAATCAGTATTTCGGCTGTGTCTCTCCACTGCACGCATTACTCTGTTCTGAATTTTAGTCTTCCATTTGAAGGATTATAATGTTAGTTATACTCCGATGCTTCAAATTGCAATAGCGTTTCGGTATATTGTCTGTTGAGATTTCCATATCAGTGTTGAATTCTATTCCCAATTTTTTCTGGCGATAAAAATTAAATTTACAGATGAGGTCTCTGTGAATATCTGTAGTTGATTATGTTGTATGAGTTGAACTCGGTGATGAACTTTAGATTTTTTATTTATTTATTTATTTATTTATTTATTTATTTTTTAATCTGTTGTGCATTCTGATAATGCTAGTTGACCTTCTGTGTAAAAAGAAACCCGAGTGTGATCGTTTCATTTCACTAAAAGATAATAGTACAGATAATTTAGCTGTCTGAAAGTTAATAGATGTGGCTACTAAATATGATGAATCCATCTGATATAAGAGGAAATTCGATTCTAATCAAAACCCAGTATTTGATTAGGCACTGATATAGTCACCAAATTGCTGCAACACATGATACAACCATGAATGAAAATTCCACCCACGTAACCATATAAGCTGCTGCTAATATCAGCTTTAATGGCTTTCTCCTAAAGCGAATAACACCAACTAACACTGCAACAATGCATAAGGATACAAAGAATGCAATGTGATTGCTGATTGCAAAGATCTTGAATGCTCGTTTTTTGCCCATAACTGAATTGCCTTGGTAGACACCACAGGGAGGGTTCAGACCATTTGTGAATGCAATACTGGCTATCAAGGTTGCAACTATTGTAATTCTTCTCCTTGCATTTTGTAGTGCTTCTTGTTGCAATTTTATGTTCTGTTTTTTTGGGTTTTTCTTATGAACTTTGATATGTTTATCTTCTTGTTCGGTGGTTTGACTGACCAAACTTGTATATAGGTTTATCTCGTGTCTTTTATTGTCTAGAATAGCTGCTTCAAAGTGAATTTCAGGTAGGTTCATGGATGTTGTAGGCAATTCAGTTTGATATAGAATGTCCCTATGATTCCCAACAATTTGATGATTGATTTTCTCTTCTGATTCCCTGTTGATATATTCTGAAAACTGCAATAAACTCAAATGATCAAGGTTAGTTAGGCCATTTATATTTCAAAACAATTGAACTAGTATTGACTTACAACACATAAACTGATAAACATCTCCATGCATGCATGAATAGACTTGATCACTTTATGTTTAATAAATCAAGAGTGAGGTTGGTTTATACCTGGTTCAAACCTCCAATACGAACAAGATGTTGAATGGTGTTACCAAATCTATCGGGTTGATAAAACATGTATGTTGCTCCCTTGAGAATCCCATCCACAAATTTGAAGGCATCAAACTGATTGAATCTTATGGTAAGATGGAACAAATTTTCTCCATGTTTAGAGAGAGTGTGGAAGGATGAAGGAGCTACGGATATAAACACTTCCAAGATGGGTATAGCTGCTACATGCAACGGTGTGTAACCACTGTTATCAAATTGAAAAGCTTGGTAATTAGGATCCATCTTTAGAAGCATTGATGTAATCTCCAGTTGCCCGCTTCTACAAGCCCCATGCAACGCCAAGGATCCATTTCTGTCTTTTAGATTAGCAAGATTCGGACATCCTTCTAGAAGCTTTTTAGCAATATCTGTGCCAAATAACTTTTATTAGCACAAAGTTACGTATAATAACAACTTAATTTCATATCGGTATAGGCAATGTACCTTGCTCCCTCTAAACTGGCGAGCAAGAATCGAGTTCACAGAATCAACAACGATGTCTCTGCATTTTATGGACGTGTTACTTGAGAGCTTCTACGAAGTTTCCATATGAAACTTCTATGCAGGTTCCATGGTGTGATCATTTGCTTCTTTTGGTCGATACTTAATTTTTTATTTCTTAGTAACTTGATTCTCATTTTTTTTTTTTTTTAATTATTATTAAGAGAAACAGAAAATATTGGTTTTGAAAACAAATAACCAATCATAGAGTACTTGTTCATCTACAACCATATTCTGGAAGGCAAACTGTATCGTTTTTGACGATAATGCCCGAATAACTACCCAATCGATAAGAATTCTCCTTTTCAGATTAGTATCAAAACACAAAATAAGAGGATATTTAATTTCAACTCCCTAAATATAATCACTAAAGAATCGAGCTTCACAATTAAAATCGGGTTCCATTTATGAAAATTGCCCTAACAAAATCTATTTTTTGGTTAAATGTGATATTTATAGCATAACTTGAGTACTAATCAATTTTAAAATGCATGTCCATACACTTTTCTTTTTCGTGAAATGAATTTGGTTCAATAAATTTTCTTTTTTTGTTAAGTTGCTGTTTTTACAGAATAAAGTCGATTTCCTTCGTAATTGTGTGCATTTGTCCTAGCGTGACACTTTTTGTAAGTAATCTCTAAGAGACAAAGTAAAGTAGTAAACAACGCGCATAATGGTAAGTAATGGTCAATGTTCTTCATAAAGGGTCATACATTTTCAACAATCGAGCACTTTTTTAATTATGCCCTAACAATTTAAATATTCTAATGAGATTAAAAAAAAACAAAAAAAGTTATGTCTTAACAAAGTTTAAATTTTGGTTAAATATAATATTCTAATGAAATTGTCACGAAAGTATATCAATGGTTATGGCACTGCAGGACAACGGAAAGTAGAAATGAAACTATCACGAAAGTATATCCACGGGCTCAAATAGTGATGATACCTTCAAACTTCAAACGCGTTCTTTCATCGTGAGTTATCATCAAGAGGTTTTGAGTGACAAATAAATAAGACAAAATTACAAAAATAATCCTTATGGTTTGCTAAAAGTTATAAAATCAGTTTTTACTAATTTTTTTTTAACGAACATGGTTCTTATGGTTTCCAAAACTTGCATGCATGGTCCTTTTTGCTGACGTAGTTACTGTTCATCCGTTAGTGTAAGGGTATTTTGGTCTTTTCAAGTAGCAGAGACTGAGTTTGTGACTATGGGTAAACCATAGGGACCATTTATGTATTTTTTTCTATATTTTATGTTTATGAGTTTGTGATTTTTCCACCCATTTACTTTTTAAAATATCACTTTGAACCCTTCTCTTTAAACTTTGAAAAATGTTACTTTCACCCCTCTATTTTCTAAATTTTCATGTTTAACTCAGTATTATATATAATTTGTTTTTTATTAATAGCTTTTGTTGGTTAACCTAAAAAAACTATTTTTACGTGTTTATTTTCATATATTTGTCGGTATAATTCAAGGTGATCAACGTTTCGATTATAATTTACAACTTTCTTTCGTTATTTTTTTTAAAGTTACATGGTTTTTTTTATAAAATTGTCGGTTTAAATTCGAGCTTATTTTTCGACGTAGTTTTTTTTTTTTTTTTTTTTTTTTTTTTTTTTTTTTAACTTTATGTACGTTTCCTACATATGAGACGGGTCATATATAATAACTTTCGTTTGTTAATTTTAAAAAATATATTATATTTGAGATTGTCTATGTTTTGATGTATTTTTTATACATTTTGTGCTTAATTTTATATACATTCCTACGTATCATTCGGGTCATATATAATAACTTTCGTTTGTTAGCTTAAAAAAATGTAGTATATTCGAGTTTGTCTATGTTTCGACCTAACTTTTGTTTCATGTTTTTTACGTATAAATATAGATTCGAGTTCGTCTATATTTCGACGTAATTTCTTTTTATGTTTCGTGCTTATTTTTATGTACGTGTTTTTTTACGTCGAAATGCAACTTTTATGACTATAATCATCAAAATTCAACTTACAAAATTCAAGCTTATAATTATGCTTTTATCTATTATATGTGAACAAAATTATAAGTAGGAACATACATAAAATAAGCACCAAAACGTACAAAAAAAATTAAATCAAAACATAAAAAATAAAGAAAAAGAAAAACTCAAATCTATATCAGCACGTGCATAAAAATAAGTAAGATTTTTTTAAGTTAACGAACGAAATTTTAAATAATAAAAAATATATAATATGTGACCCTAATCATAAGTAGGAAACGTACATAAAATAAAGCACGAAAACGTTAAAAAAATATGTTTCGCAAAACGTTTTGGTGCTTATTTTATGTATGTTTTTACGTATAAATTTGTTCACATATAATAGATAAAAACGTAATTATAAGCTTGAATTTTGTAAGTTGAATTTTGGTGATTATAGTCATAAAAGTTTTATTTCGACGTAAAAAAACATGAATGAAAAAAACACGTACATAAAAATAAGCACGAAACATAAAAAAAATTACGTCGAAATATAGACGAACTCGAATCTCTATTGATACGTAAAAAACATGAAACAAAAGTTAGGTCGAAACATAAACAAACTCGAATATACTACATTTTTTTAAGCTAACAAATGAAAGTTATTATATATGACCCGAATAATACGTAGGAATGTATATAAAATTAAGCACAAAATGTATACAAAATACATCAAAACATAGACAATCTCGAATATAATATATTTTTTAAATTTAACAAACGAAAGTTATTATATATGATCCGTCTCATATGTAGGAAACGTATATAAAGTTAAACCGACAATTTTATAAAAAAAAACCATATAACTTTAAAAAAAAATAACGAAAGAAAGTTCTAAATTATAGTCGAAACGTTGGTCACCTTGAATTATACCGACAAATATATAAAAATAAACACGTAAAAATAGTTTTTTAAGGTTAGCGAACAAAAGTTATTAATAAAAAACAAATTATATATAATATGGGGTTAAACACGAAAATTTAGAAAATAGATGGGTGAAAGTAATATTTTTCAAAGTTTAAAGTGAAGGGTTCAAAGTGATATTTTAAAAAGTAAATGGGTGGAAAAGTTACAAACTGGTAAATATAAAATATAGAAAAAAATACATAAATGGTCCCTATGGTTTACCCATAATCACAAACCCAGTCCCTGCTACTTGAAAAAACCAAAATACCCTTACACTAATGGATGAACTTTAACGGCATCAGCAAAAAGGGTCATTGATGCAAGTTTTGGAAACCACATGGACCATGTTCGTCAAAAAAAATTAGCAGGGACTGACTTTGTAACTTTTAACAAACCATAGGGACCATTTTTGTAATTTTGTCAATAAATAATTGTTCTAACGAAATTATCCTTTTGATTAAATTCAATACTACGAAGTTAATTTTAACATAATTAAAAAAAAAATTGTTATCTCATTTGGATTTGAATTTATACCACTATCATTGTATGGTGAGCCCTTTCCAAGTTATTTATTTATTTATTTATTTTACAACAAATAATTATTTATTCTCGTTTTCGAGATATCGAACCTAAGACCTCAATTTAGGCCTCGTAATCGGGTTGGGTTCGGATTGGCGGGTCACGAGTTGGCGGATTGACATGTCAAAATACATAAACTCAACTCAACCCATATAATATATGAGTTGACAAGTTGGCGGGTCATGAGTTGGTGGGTTAGAAACTTCAACCCAACCCAACTCATATAACCCGTTTTAGCATATGGATTAGTGGGTTCACAAGTAAATGAGTCGAACCCAACCCATATAACCCATTTAATAAATAATGAATATATTTTTAAAAAAAGAGGTTTTTTCAATATAAAGTCATAAAGTGATTAAATTAATTAACATAAAAAATAGGTTTTCAACATAAGTTCATAAAGTCATTAACATTCAAAGAAAATTTAAAAATAAAAATATTCATACAAAGTGGATGCGTTCTTCGTTCGTGACTCGTTAATATCTAAAAATAACATGTTTTTTTCTTTTTTGATTAGTCCACTGCAAATGCGGACTAACCACATACAAATACGAAAGGAATACAATGATATGAAATATTACGAATACCCAAGGAAATCAGATTTCACTAATAGTTATATATATATATATATATATATATATATATATATATATATATATATATATATATATATATATATATATATACTATTGTGTGCATTTATGCACCAATGCGAATTGAGGAAATAATAATTCATTAAATAAATCATTTAAGGGTAATACAGTAATCTTGATATATTTAATTTTGGTAGATAATTAATATAACAAAACTATAATGACAATTACACATTATTACTATTTTATTAATTAGGGAAAAGAATAATATTATATAAATAAGCACAAAACGTATATGACCATCTCCTTCTAAACCTAGACCCAATTTTCTTCTCACCGCCGATCACCCTCCTCTACCGGTGTGTTTGTGTACTTAAGATGTTGTTGTTGAGTTCCATTCGGTCCACACTCTCGAGCTTCATCAACCAATTTTGGTTTCAAACCATCTACAAAACCCCCCAAATTGTGCCCAAAGATTGGATCTCAACAGCAAGTTGAAAGTTACACTGGTTATTTTCAATGCTTATATACTACAAATATGAATCTGTCATTCAAACTCAAACGACAACAGTCATCCACACTTTCAGATGTGAAAAAAAATACAGAGCAGACAAAAAAGAATTATCCAACACCCTCTTATCGATGTCAAACCTCTTCAAGAAATATCGAAAGTCCACCCCACTTTCAGATGTGTCATGAATCGATGCTGATTTTTTTGTTATGTGGTGCAATTTTTGATTCTTAATCCAACTACAACCAAAGTCTAACCAATCAATTTTGCAACATGTAAGCTTCATCTAACCTATCAATTTTGCAAGAGCATCGATTACTATCCATACATTTTTCTTATTCTGATAGATTATTGGTATTTCTAGTTTTTTTTTTTTCTTTCATTCTTTGTGTAGCAATCCTTGCTCACCAACTGTTCGCTAAAATGTCTGAATGAAATTTTTTGTGCATTTCCATCGACTCTTCATCATTCTTTTACTTTAATTCAATTTTTGTATATGTACATATAAATATAAAAAGCTATTTTTATGTATTTTGAAGGTATACATCAAATATCTTAGTGCAGTTGTTGACCCCCCTTCCAGCCATCCATACTTAGGTAAGCTTTATATTAAATGGGCATACAACTTAGATGATAAAAAGTCTCCTGTTTGGATGTGCGTCTTACAAGTAATTTGGAAAACCAACTTAGATGATCAATAATCCGCAAGGGATGTTAGTTGTTAATTGGTGATATTAAGATGTGAATAATGAACTATGAAATTAAGAATGTGAAGACTTTATATTTTTTTATTATGTTGTTGTTCTTGTAGTTTAATTATCAGGGCGAATTAGGAAAGCTTACCATGTGGCTGGAATTCCAATTTCTATTGTCCCTCGTATTGTATTTTTGAAATCTAAAATTATATTTGTAGTAAATACAATACCTTTGAATGTATTCAATGTATTCTATCAGAATGTATTCTACCAGAATAAAATCGATGTATTCTGTCAGAATGTATTATATGTGTTATGTCATATTCTATGTATTCTACCAGAATATATTGAGTGATAGTTAACTGCAAGTAACATGTTTTTAACAATTATTGGTTTTTGTTGTATTTGTGATAGGAATGGCTGGAAGAAGGCGTTGAAGACCTAATAGGAATAACTTGAAGAATGAATAAAGTTTGATCATACTCACAATTTAAGAATGTTGTTATTTTTTAAGAATTTTAATCATTTTTGTTGATATTCTTTTAGAATATGTATAATTATATTAAATTGTATAAGGATTTTAGTCTGTAAGAATATATATGAATTTGTATTTAAGTTCGAATGTATACAAATATGTATTAGAATGTTTGTTATTTTTCAACATCTGATTCAAGAATTTTGT